ATTTATAAATTATCAAGGGTTCATGAGGGAGGGGGGAGTGGGAAAAATGAGTTGCTGATGGCAGGGGCTTACATGGAGAGCAAATGTTTTGAGAATGATGAGGGCAATGAATGCACAAATGTGCTTTACACAACTGATGTATGCCTGGATTGTGATGAGTTGTATGTGCCCCTAATAAAATGATTTTAAAAGTCTATAAAGTTGGGGGAGGGGAGAGGGGGGAAAGATCAGCATAAAAGATCAGAAATCAGGATAGTATTGAACTTAGCAACAGTGGGGGATTAGGAGGGTGGTAAGACAAGGTCTGACTGACTTCAAAATTTTATACTTAACCAAAATAGAAATCAGTATAAAAAAGAGTAAAGACATTTTAGGCAGGGTATCAAAATGCATATCCTTACATAGCCTTTTTCTCACTAAGCTACTGGAAAATGGGCTATGCTATAACAAGGAAGTAAAACAAGAAATAAATTACTGAAGCCAGAAAGGGGATACAACTCAGGAGACAGGTCAATATAATTCCCAAGACGGTGAAGGAAAACTACAGGCTAACACCAAGACACAAGCCTGAAGCAAGAGGAGAAACTGAGAAATAAAATTGAGAAATTTATTTTCTGTAGAGTGAATTTTAAAATGCACAATAGGCATAAATAAAAATATAACAATTATTAACTTCAGGGAAAACAAAACTCCACACATGAAATAATGTTTATTCACAATATATTAAAAGGCTCAGGAGTGATAATAATATTAACACTGAACAATCATTTGACCAAAACTTTTAACAACGAGCCCTGTTAGCACTATGGAATCATCATCAGGCTGATAACCACAAGCCTGGCAGTTCAAGTCCACCAGCCACTTTGCAAGTCTGTCTACTTCCATAAAGATTTATAGTCTCAGAAATCCAAAGGAGTAGTTTTATTTTGTCCTATATGGTCACTTTTGGTTGGGTCAACTTTATGACAGTGATTTATATTATTACACATTGGAAATAGATGACATATACAATGATATTTAGTAACAATCATGCTATCTAGAAATCTTAAGGTAACTGACTGCAGATTTAGCTGAAAGAGAGGGATCTTTGGGGAGCAAAAATACATGTGAGAGGAATGGGATATACACCTTGAAAAAGATGGTCATGTTTTACTATGGTAAAAATGAAATCTTACTTTTAGAAGATTGGTCAGTAATCTTAAAAGTGTTTATAATTTTTAGTTATGTAAAAAAGTAGGATGCTATATTACAACTATGTAAATAAACATTGGAAGTAAATGTAAAAAAGGATTTTGATACATTGGGCTTATGGCACTTTTCATTCCTTTTATTTTCCAAACTTCTTTTTACTTAGGAATTTAATAAAAGTTCTAAAAAATTTAACTTTCAATAAAAACTGAGAATATCTATGCCATTATTAGCAAACTGAAAGGTATTTAAAAAATAATAACATTAGGAACATGCCAATCGTAACTCCAAATCACATCTACCTCTATAGCATGTGGGTGGGCAGCCCAAGAATACAGGGATGTTTCACAAATAATTTTATGCAGATGAAATAGGTTAATATAATTAAGGAGAGCAACGATAACTACAAGAAACGGACCCGAGTAAAAAGGTTAGAACATTTATCCAAGTTAGCAGGAAAGAACGCTGGAAGTGATACTACCTCTCTTTCTCACTCCGTGACGGAACATTCTAAGGAATCTGATGCTTTTTAAGTTGTATGTATATGTTTTTAACAGCTTCTCCCGTTTCTCTCTTTTTTTAACAGTTTCTTTCTCTCCAGATGTTTCCCACTCTCCAGATTGTTAGTTCTCTTAGAAAAAGCCTGGGTTCCCAGTTAATTGCTTTAATTCTCAGTATTACAACGTCTATTTATATTAAAAGTTGAACTGAAATTCAGTACCTTGGTAAAAGGTATTTCTCTTCACTTGTACTGTACGTCAATAAAATCTCATTTCAACATTAGGAAAATAGTCCTTCAACGAGCCCTACATTTACCTGCTGGACACTTCTGTCCTTTGGAAAGCACAGTGACAGCTGTCTCCGTTGGGAGGAAAAGCAATCTAACATCCACAGCAGGATAACATTAAAGTCATCTTCCTATTTTCTCACAAGACAGTAATACGCTCAGCGAACACTGCAAAGGATGCTTGGTAGACCAAGAAAAATTTACCAGAATATTTGTTACACAAAACTGCCCTTGGTTAAGCACCAACTTAACCGGAACAGATGGTAAGGATTTAAAATATAATCACAGGAATGACAAAAACACATGGTTCTTAAATTAGCAATAAGTGAAGCTCAAATAAGTCTAACATATTGTTTTTCTTATTCAGCATTGCCCACTCCAGCTTTTTAAAGTCTGTCAATGTTTCTATTTATATATAGTAAGATGAAAAGAAGAGTGTGTGCAGGAAAATGTACAATAGAATTTCAAACTCTCATGGACCCTTGACTTTCTGGAGAAATGCAGGGTGTAGGTGCACCTCTGAAATGACTGCCCTGCAATCTTTAAATCTTAAAACCAAATAGATCCTTGAAGTCATCCTAACTGAATAGTAGTTTAGTTTAACGGTAGTAGAAAAAAGCCTGCCCTGAGCATTATGCTCTTTCAGGAATTACTCATATGGGAACCTACTGACAACAGCAACACAAAAGATGAAAACCTTCGGGGCACCTGGTCTATGCTGATAAGGGAGGGACAACTTAGAAAAAGATGGTGAGAATTGTTGCACAGCTCGAAAAATGTAATCAATGTCCCTGAATTGTACATGTGGAAACTGTTGAATTTGTGCATGTTTTGGTGTATATATTCACAATAACAACAAAATAAAATTTATTAAGGAAAATAAAAAGAAGAATGTGCTTACTTTTTGCTTAATTTTACTCATGGATCGTCTCAGATAGCTACCCATAACTAATATTATTTTTCACAGTTAAACTGCCAGAGGTAAGATTTGCTCAATTAAAATAACAACCATTCCACCAAGGATAACTGTCATGTAAAAGTTATTTTCAAAGTGCTATTGATATTCAGAAAAAATTTTAGATTAAAAGCAAACATTAATTTTCTGTGGTGAGCAAACTTAAACTGTGGTACGTAATTACATACAAAGTTGTAATTCACTCATTGCCACCGAGTTGATTCTAACTCACAATAGCACAGAGTAGCGTTTCAAGACTGTAAATCTTTATGGGAACAGACAGTCTTATCTTTTTCCTGCAGCACAGCTAGGGGGTTTGCAGAGCTAGCCTTGGCTAGCAGATCATGGTATAACTTGCTGTACCACCAGAATACAGTTCTCAATGTAGTGAGAACACTTTTTACGTACAGACATGATTAGGTTCAAAAGGGCAAGTCGTTACACAAAGGTTGGTATTGTGTAAAAACAGAGTATAACAACATCAGAACACAAAATTGAGGATGACTACTGCATTATTACACAAGTGTCAAATTAAATCATTACACGACTGCCTAATCCCATCACAACACATAAATGCCGAACTACTGAAAATAATGGCCCAGCCAAGTTGATACAAAACCTTAATATTACAGCCAGCATTACTATCTCCATGCAGCTTGGCGCTTGTTACTCCCAGGCATTAGGACAGGTGATTAATGAACAAAATAGTGAGTCAGGATGAATTGTATTAGCCCCAATAAAATGATTTAAAAAAAAAAGAAATACAAAGTTAAGTCCACTTCTATTTGAATGACAGAAGTTGCTAACTGTTTTAGCTGGGATGTGGATAGACCCCTATAAACAAGGAGAAAAACCTGAAAACAAAACTCATTTCAAGTTGGCTTGCTCATGAGCATCATCTAATCTACTATCTAATCTTCAGACCACATTCAAGTTCTGTTTATTATCCTAATAATGTTGTATAAAAGGATCTTCCCAGCTGCGTATCATGCACTGTCTTTGGCTGTCAAGTCTTTTTATCCTGCTTGTCCTCTGATTCCTCAAGATAGGCTAACCCTCTCGATTGGTCCTTTCCTCACCTGGGTTGGTCTCTGACACCTCACACTTTGGGCTGCTCCTCTTTACTCATCCACTTACGTTTTGATTCCCCTCTCTGGGCCGCCATTCCTCAATCTCCTCCCTCTTCAGCATGGATATCTAACTTGCTCTGATCTACATAATGTGATTAAGATAGAAGGGAAGGAGGGTGCTTAATGTGCGAATTTAAAATAATATAATTATTTTATGCTACAACTTACTCACAAGTAATAGAAATATTCAGGTAAAATATCTCTTTTGCTTTACACTTACTTTCAGGAGAATACTATCTACCTCAAACAAAAAGAAGAGGAGAATAATATGGATGCTCTAGTTGGAAGTTCATAAATGTGGAGAAAAGCCAGCGATCTGCCTATAAGTGGACAAGTGAAGGTTGGAGTTTGATGGCTAAAGCTCATGATTCTACCAGGCATAAGAGCTTGTGCTCTATCATTTATAGCAGGCCACCAAAACTTTCATGACAAGAGGTCAATAGTAAAATTAAATTAATTTAGATTTGCATTAAAGCTGGTAAAAGTTATAATGGAAACTATAACTTACAACATTTATTGCAGTAACACAAAATAAGGTAGGGAATTAGAGACATACTTTTACTTACTTTATCTACACAATCATCAAAAAATGCCAAGCTTGCATCTTTATCACTAACAAAAGAACATTCTTCAATGAAACGAATAAACATTTGTGTTTTGGTCATCAGGTTATAGAATTTTTGATGTGACCGATCTCGGCTTCTTAAGAAAGCTGTAATATAGTAACATAAGTATATATTGTCAGAATAAATGCTATCACACAGAGTCCGAATTCTTGAGCTAGAAGGAACGTGACCAACCATGCCACCTAAACTTTCCATAGCCCTGTCACTGCAGAAAAACAAACACAAATCCCTGAGAGGGAAACAACCTAAAAAAAATAACCCTAGGAAGGAACTGGAGCCCAGATTTCAAATCCTCTTCCAGAATTGTCTCCATTGCCCAGTAGTAACCTCGAAGATTATACAGAAAATATTACACTTGAAAGCATTTAAAAAATTGCTTCCCACTCCCATCCCAATGTTGTGCCATGTGTAACTGCATTTGTTCTGCCTCTCTCCTTGCATATATAATCAAAGTAGCAAAACATTCTGGGGTAGTTACAGAATTTGGTGTCAATTTGAGGATTAAGAGTGTAGGGGTGGAGTCTAGGCTGTCAATCAGAACACAGCCAATGAGGCCTCTGTGGGCATGGCCTTCAGCTAAGGATTCTGGGAATTCCTGGATTTCCTTCTTGGAGACGGGAGACACACTCTCTCTCTCTCTCTGCTCACTCCTTCGGAGACATTGCAGCTGACAAGACACATGGAACTACTCTAGTGACCTGTGCTGGAAAAGCCACATGAACCTACCCGGATGCAACCAGACCTCTGAAGCTGGAGAAGGCATGAAGAGACCCGTGTTGAGATGCTTACAACGACACTTGATCCAAAGACTTTCTACCCACTCATCCTGCATCATTGCATGTGTTTCGTGAGTTTGAAGAGGACTTTATAGATTGGTGTCAGACATTTGGGCTAACATTGGACTTATGGGTTTGGACTGGACTGGGCTGGGATGCTTTTTCAATATTCAATTGCTCTTGTATATAAACCTCTTCCTTATATACATATGAGTGTGTCTATGAATTTGTTTCTCTAGTCTACCCGGACTAACACACATTCTCTCTAATATTCCTTATTTGTGTCTTATTTATTGAAAATAGCATAAGGGCTATTTCCTGCATTCCCCCTACAACTTGATCATTATGTTCAAGTGACACTACACCCATTAACTCAAGCTCTCTAGTCTCAGGGGCTTTTCATACACTATTCTCTCTGCCCCGAACATTCCTGTTGTTCCCCTCTGCCTGACTGACTTCTATTCACCCTCTCGATCATGGCTCACACATTACTTCCTCACAAAAGCCTTCTGTGATCCCTTTGTTTTCTAATTGTTTATTATCTGTAAGTTCCATGACGGAAATGATTACATCTCTTTTGCATACCACTATATATCCAATGCATAGCATTTGGAGGTACTCAATAACTGCTTATTAAATGAATTTCTCTTTCTTTTTTTTTTTTGAATTTCTCTTTCAAATGTTAAGTATTACAAGAGAATAAATTCTTCTGATGATACTAATCACACTCTAAGGCTTCCCAATATTTTTTAACTTCATGGCTCTGAAGGCAATAACACTGTAAAGTTGAAGTAAAACCATGAGGCTGCTCAAGACTGGAGGTGACCATTCCAGAGGCTCCTCCACATCCCCACCACTGACTTGCTGCCCTAGAAGCCGAACTGCACACATTATTCTGTCAGCACATATCAGATGAAGGGGTACATAGTCTTCACATTTCAAATATTTCGTTTCTTTGGTATATTTTATGAACATAGAGATAATCAACATGTCTGAGAAAAAAAAATCCCATGAGAATGGATTACCAATGAAACTGGAATTCACAATATCCCTAATATAGGTATGCATTTTAATAAATACTATTAACCCAGAGTGTAATTGATTCATCAAGAGATGAAGCACAGCAACAAGAAACCGTGCAATCACGTACCTTGTAGGGCAAAAAGAGAGGTTGCATCTGTGGCTGTCTCAGATGGGGCTTGTGTTATTGGCCTTAAGTATGATCTATAACCTTTTAAAATAGAGGCCATAAAACACAAAAATGCCTCTTGGATTTCCAAATCTATCATATGTAATCTCTTTCCGGAATTAAAATCATAGTCATTCATTGATAAGTCCATTAGTCCATCATCTCTTGGTCTCTGCTGCACTGTAAGGAAATGCAAAAAGTGTCAAAGGTCAAGAAAAAGAAGGGAAAAAAATCTTGAGGAATTGTATTAGGGGGAAAGCCCAAAGAGAAGTGAAACTAAATATAGCACCTTATTTGGAAAGAAATAACATTATTAAAGTAAACGACAAAACTTGAATGTTGGCTGAGAATTAGGATGGTAATGACAAATTCTTGATATTCATGGTTACACAGGAGATGGTTGATTGCTTTAAGATCTTTATAAATATAAGAAACTAATTAATTAGTTATCTTAGAAAATTTATTTTTTTTAAGTTCTTGTAGTATACCAAAATATAAAGCACTGGGAAGAATGTGGATAGCAGAACCAGAAAGCCTAGACAGTTACTGTAGCTTCCTCTGTATTGTCTGTAACACCTGTAACTAGCTACTTTATCTATCTCAACTTTATTATCCTCAGAGTTGTAAAGAAAAAAGTAATGTATGTGAAAGAACCCTGAAGCTGTAAAGTAATATACAATCTTTAACCATTAGTATTACTTAATAAAGCCCAAGTGAACACGAGGTGTTGAAGGGATCAGGTAGCAGACACCAAAAAACAAAAACCATCATTGTGTGATCACCTTCCCCACA